GTTAATGAGAGAAGTACACTTTGGAGTGGTATGTTAATTCAGACGATTGCACGCTGTCTGAAAATAAACATTAAGTTAAAGCCAACAACAGATGTTTCACAGAAGTGTCTCATCTCAAATTTTTCTGCAGTACATTACTGTGACTCCAATATTGGAAATACAGAGCTAAAGATAAAGTATCACTATGTTTGGTATTTAGCAATACTGGAAAATGACTGTACTTATTGCTACACAGTATCCACAAAGAAGAATAACATTTATTTTGAGCATCCCAGGAGACACAAAACTCGAAAAAAGGGTTTTTCTACAGGTCATTGAAGAAAAGGAAAGTTAGTGAAATTTTCATAATTGAATAATTCAGGGCATAAGTGTACACTTTAATAAGTTTGATATGATTACAGTGATATGGAAACATTAGTGTATTTAAAGTGTTCAATATATCTAATATATGTTATCTCAAATATCCTTTCAGGAACTTTAGAAAAACCAATTTCTTAAACAATCTAGAGCAGTATTTCTCAGCTTTGGCCAGTGTAAAATGGCTGGAGTTCAATCCCAGAATTCCCCAGCCAGCTCTGGAAGTTGAAGTCAACCCATCTTAAAGTGGCCAAGGATGGGAAACACTGCTCTCCAAGTATGAAGGATGAGAAAGAGTAGCTTTTTATGGCCTTCAGGATCTGAAGCAGCAGCTTCCCATCATTCTATCTTTATTTCTTATGCAACCAGACTCTATTATTAGAGAGTGTTTTAATGTGCTTTGGTGAGATCCAGGGTCTCTCTTCGTTGGTGAGAGAGTTTTCTATTTTATTTTCTCAAAGAAATATTAATGAAGCCTTCAAAAGTAACTTCAAATGTTTCATCTTTTTAATCAAAGGAGGAAAAAATATTTTTTGAAATCAAAAATAGCATGTTTCCAAAACATTATACATCATCTTGTACTAGAAACATTTTACTTATAAATTATTCCTGCATAAGCCTATTTCAGCAATCAATTCAATTAATTTTACAGCCACCAATCCAATAAAACTGCTTTAACATGATGTAAATCAAATAGCACAATTGACAAAGTGTTTACTTTTATAGTAATCTCATTACAGTATAGTACAAAACCAAATCAAGGAAAAAATAGTTTTTATGTAATATTCTTTTGCAGTGTACCTGTACTAAAATTAACCTTAATGAAATGTTTTGCTTACAAATACTTTGCTTAAACCACAAAGTTTAAAGAGAACAACAGTCAGGGTGAATCTGGTCAAATCTTTTCTGAGCAGTCACTAAACATAATAAATACAAATTAATCATTCTTCTTAAAATTGTGTGCAAGAAATTCAAAGTAAAACAAGAAGGAATGGTATATATACAGCTGGCCCTTGAGTTATGCTAGCAGTTCGGAACTTCTGTTGGATGGTGTCCATAAAGCATGATGTCATGTGATTACACCACTTAGCGTAGGCAACCCTGGAAGATCTGATTAATGTCATAATTGCAGGGCTATGTGGGTTGTTAAGTAGGAAAAGGTGGAAGACCAAAACAAGGACCATGGACATGCCACTGGCAGATGCTACAAAGAATGAGAATGGATGGTGCCACAGGCAGGAGATATGTAGTGTATGTGGGTCAGCAAGGACTGCGAGCAGCTGTGGAGTGCTGTGTGTGTGTTACAGCTAAAACTTTGAGGACTGGACATAAGCATACTATAACTTATAGTATAACTATAAGTTCAACACTGTCATAACTTTGAATGGTCCAGAATGAATGGTCATAACTTGTGGACTACTTATATTGTCCAGACATACAATCATTGTGTGTGGATTCCATTAGAATTAGTTTTTCATTTTTTATCTAAGTCTAAATTTTATAATATACCATTGTTCCTCCTTCAACACATTCTGATTTAAATGACCACATTCTGTATAGCAAACCTTCTGTCTCTTGGAAAACATATCAGCAGGTCCCACTGTAACCTTTTTACATATCACAAAAGTTGACAAAGTGGGGTTTTTAAAATTCAGTGGGACCTGCTGATATGTTAGAATCTAGATAAGAGACCACTAGGAAATCCTAGTATTAGAGACAAAACTGGGAGCTAAAACTATCCTGGAAGATAACAATTAGGAAACCACTTCTGTATGGTTGTCAAAATTGCAGGTGAACGCACAAAGCTCCATTTGCGCATGTGCGGGATTAAGTTGCACACATGAAACCATCCCCTCCTCCTGCCACCATTGGTCCAAAGAGCCTGAAAGGTTAGGGACCACTGTCATGCAGGATCCAAGGAAAAGGCCTTCAAATCACATGAAGACATATAATAGGGAAAAAAAAGACGAAAAACGTTTTCCTGAAATTAAGGCACAAGCAGCTTTAGATAAATGAGAATCTGAGAACATTTCATTGTCTTCATAAGAAATTTACATACAAGTCAGGAAGCCACAGCAGAGATAGAAGATGGTGAAAGAGACTGGCTCCAAGTTCGCAAAAGAATGTAGCAAGAATGTATATGTTCCCCTTATTTATTCGTTCTGTATGCTGAATATATACTGTATTAAGGGAAGCCGGTTAGGAAGGAAATGAACATGGTTTTAAAACTGGAAGAAGAAGCAACAATAATCTGCTATGCTGATGACACTTGGTAGCTGAAAAATGGAAAGGATCTGCAAGGAATGCCATGAAAACATAGAAATAAAACTAAATATAAGATCAAACTAACAACAACAGACACAATGACCAGGTTTATAATTGAAAATGAAGGTGTGGGTGTGGATACCTTCTGCCTTTTAGGATCAACAATAAAAGAACAAGTAATGAAGAAATATGCACTTGGCTGAGCAGCCACAAAAGGCTTTGGAAAAGATATTCAAATGCTATGATGTCTCTATACCTATGAAGATCAGAATTGTGCAAGCCATGGTATTTTCCTGTGACACTCTATGGAAAAAAAAGTTGGACATCAGAGAAGCAGGCTAGGAAAAGTATTGATGCTTCTGTATTGGAGAAGAATATATTATGGGCAGCCAAGAAAACAAACTAATAATTATTGAACAAATCAACCCAGAGTTCTCCCTTGAGGCACTAGTGACCAGGCTCAAATTTTCCTACTTTATGAAAAATTGTGGGAAGACCCAGCTTTCTGGAAAAGGCTCTAATGATGGGAAAGTGGAAGGAAAGAGGGAGAAAAACAGATGGACTCAATTACGGCAGTGATGGGAGTACCATTAGAAGACCTGAAAGACCCATTTAAGGACACATTGTCATTAAAGAAGATCCATGTGTTCTCTAAGACTCAAAAAAGACTTCAGCACCAGAGGGCAGGACAAGAAGCAATGGGTGGAAATCAGAGGTGGGTTTCAGCAGGTTCTGACCAGTTCTGGAGAACCAGTAGCGGAAATTTTGAGTAGTTCGGAGAACCGGTAGTAAAAATTCTGACTGGCCTCACCCCCATCTATTCTCTGTCTCTTGAGTTGTCTCCAGCTGATGAGGAGGAAATGTGGATTTTCAGTAATCTTCCCCTGGAGTGGGGTGGGAATGGAGATTTTACAGTATCCTTCCCCTGCCACGCCCACCAAGCCACACCCACAGAACCGGTAGTAAAAAAATTTGAAACCCACCACTGGTGGAAACTGATCAAGGAGAGAAGCAACCTAGAACGAAGGAGAAATTTCCTGACAGTTAGAACAATTAATCAGTGGAACAACTTGCCTCCAGAAGTTGTGAATGCTCCAGCACTGGAAGTTTTTAAGAAGATGTTGGATAACCATTTGTCTGAAGTGGTGTAGGGTTTCCTGCCTAAGCAGGGGGTTGGACTAGAAGACCTCCAAGGTCCCTTCCAACTCTGTTATTCTATTTGTGACTTTCCAACCTAGCGCCCCGCTCCGTATGTGCTACTACTCCAACTCCCAGCATCTGCACACACACACACTACAGCAACCATAAAATAGAATAGAATAACAAGAGTTGGAAGGGACCTTGGAGGTCTTCTAGTCCAACCCCCTGCTTAGGCAGGGAACCCTACACCACTTCAGACAAATGGTTATCTATTTTGTTGGTCACGGATGATGGGAGCTGTAGTCCTTCACATCTGGAGACAGCAGGCCAAGAGAGAACTTGAATAAGAAATCTCCAGCATATTAAACATTATTTAATATTACATACATTGACAGCAGCCCGCATAAAAAGAGCCTTGGTGGCAGAGCAGACTAAAGTGCTGTTAAAGTAGCACTTAGCTGCCAGCTGCCTGCAATTACTGCGAGTTCAAATCTCACCAGGCTCAAGGTTGATTCAGCCTTCCATCCTTTCGAGTTAGGTAAAATGAGGACCAGGATTGTGGGCGCCAATAAGCTGACTTTGTATAAAAAAGAACACCGCTTGGGGGGGGGCCAAAAAGCCCTACTAAGCAGGTATATACAAAAGTATGAAGGCTATTGCTTAACACATTGTAAGCCGCCCTGAGTCTCCGGAGAAGGGTGGCATATAAATCGAACCAATAAATAAATAAATAGTCTATGCGCAAAATTGGAAGAAGGAAAATTTGCCATCAGAAGAAGATTTAATTAGAAAAAAATTTAGAATGCACAGAGATGGACAAATTAACAAAAGAACTCAAGGAGAAAGAGGATACAGAATATTACAAAGTGGGGTGTCGATGGTATGAATGTTTGGAGAATAGGAAAAATGAGAAAGAGGAATAAAGGAAGGAGAGAGGGGGGAAAAATGTTGAAGATCAAGTTACAATGTAGACGAAATAAAGAAAGATGGAAAATAATTGTTGCATAAGACAAAGTTAAAATATGTGTAAATAGCAAGAAAGGATCACTTCGAAATAGCTGTAGGAAAAAGTGATATGTATATAAATGTTGTGTGTTTTGTGTCTTGTTTTAATGTATTCAAAATAAAAAACTTCTTAAAAGAAAAAAATATCCAGCATGAAATAACCCCCCCCTCCCCCCCATCATTCTTCCTGCAAACACTAATAATGGCATTTCAATAGCAGTTTCCCCACTCACCTGCGCCAGGACCAGGAAGAAGCCGCCGGTCCCCTCCCGCCCGCTCCACCCTCTGCAGGAGCCCACCAAGGCGCCTCCTCCGAGCAGGGAGGCGGTTGCGAGCCACGGTCCCGTCCAGCCTTTGCGCCCTCGGAAGCTGCCAAGCACGAGCGCCCCGCGCCTCCCGCAATTGCGGACCAGAGCGGCCCAAGCGGCACCCCACGCCGCCGCCATTTTCCCGGAAGTAGAAAGAATCGTTGACATCAATCCGTAAACATTGAGTAGTTAGAGAGCCACCCACAGTTCTCAGCTTCCGGGTTCGCTTTGGATATTCCGTATTCTTGTTCCATCAAGGGCTGTCGTCGGGAAAAACAGCCACAACGGAGGCACACAATAAAGGCAGGTTCTTCCTTTCTGGCATAGGTCTTCGTTGCTGGTGAGAACGAGTTTCAAAAAAACTCGCCTTTTTCAATATTTTAATGGTCAACCAATCTAGATATGTTTTGCAAGGTGCATTGAATGCTTTGGGTATAATTTTGAGTTGAGGGGTTTTGCATGGGAAAGAGGTTTGAAGCAGTCGTTTAAACAGTAGTTTTGCTGGAACCTGATTAAAAACAAGAATTAAAATGCCCAGCTCAAACACTAGCGGCGGGCGATCTTACAGGGAGATGGTGAAAAAAATGGAGCAAGTCTGACCAATAGTAGTGGAATAAGTTAAAAAAAAAAGGCATGTATTCATTATTGTTATGGTTGGTTGCATAGACAGATGTTTGGACTGTCTTTGGCATTTTTTTCCTACCTTATCGAGTCCATCCCAAGGACCTGGAGTAAATCGATGTTATTTAATAATATTAAAGGTATCATCGCATGATGTAATTATTATTTTGGAGCAGAAACATCTAGGTCGATGGGCTCCATTACCACGTACATAATATAATTATTCTAAAGGGAGGTTGTTGAAAGGGATTTGGAAATCAACTTTGTGGAGAACAAAAGGTTACCTCTAATTTTTCTAGCTCTTTCGGGGGAAAAAAAACCAAAACAAAACACACGTTCTCTTGCTGCGCATGCGCTATTTCAAGAGCGCGTGCAGGTGATTCTAAGGCTGAGCTAGATGCTTAATTAGGCCAAGTAAACAGCTGCTGATCTCCAACATTAAGCTTAGGTTTTTTTAATGGCTTAATTTTTTTGTGTTAATGCATGGTTCAATATACTGAATAAATCTAGGAAGTAGGGATTTTCCCCCGAATAGTCAAAATAAGCATCTGTTGTGCAGCAGCTATGCATTTTGTGCATGCAGATAACTGTGGTCTAATGGCATTGTCTTCACCGATGTGAATGCCAATTTTGAAGTACTGTGAGAATTAAAAATCACCCCGAGGGGTTTCCCTCTGCTGCATGGAATTGTTTGGTCCCTCCCCTTGAGTCGCAGAAAGCTTGATCCTTGATTTCCTTCCAAGATGATAAGCCACAACACCTAACATTATTTACTGAATAGCATTGGAATGAAAAAGGAATTACTGCAGTTAAGCTTGTCTTACTTGTGGACTGGGATAAGTTAAAAGTAATATGATGGGGACTTGGCAAAGAAAAAGTTGGTATCAGGCAAATTTCTGCCATCATTGACTGCAGGTGGGGACATGGCCGCTCTTAAATTGTTGATCTCCAGGGCATCAGGTTTGAATAACTGTTCAAAATCACATCTTGCCCAGTTAACCGTAGTTTAGGGAGATAATTTCAATTTTAGGGATTCACATAGCCCACCAAATAAATCGTAAATTAACTACATGAATAGCATTTAAACAACACATTTAGGCTAAAATGTGGTTGGCTAGCTTGTAGACTTTAACTTCAGTTGGGCTCTCTAAATCAGTTTACTCCCTCCTTTCTCCTGAGAAAGGAAAGCACTGAGAAGAGAAGGAGCTCAAAAAGTACCTGCCTTTTTACCAATAAATTTTAACTTCATTTTTCCACAGAGGAACATTTCCCATTAATCCTCTGCAATCAGCTCACTGGGCCAACCTTATCATTTGATAGAGTAAGATCAGCAGTAGAGCCTGCTGAATGAGACTGGTAGCTGCTCCACTCTAAATCAGTATTTCTTAAACTTGGCAACTTGAAGATGTGCAGATTTCAAGTCCCAGAATTTCCCAACCAGCATGGCTAGCTAGGGGATTCTGGGAGTTGGGAGTCCACACATGGATTTCAAGTTGCCAAGATTTAGAAACACTACTCTAAATAATCCTTCTTGTCTGATCTATTGAGGACAGAATTACATGTACCCTGAAATATCCTAGATCTCCTAAATAAGTCTGCTATCTCAGTTCTAGTGAGAATTCCTTTCCCAGGATTAATAAAAGATTCACCTGCCAATCTAGTTTGGAAGAGGTGCCTTTGTATACTTTGTCTCCCTTTCAAGCAAACTAAATAAATGTAGGTTTTCCAGCATGTTTGCCAAGGCAATATATAGGTCCAGCTTTTTTCAAGTTTTTTAACTTTAATATAGCCAAAATACTAATTTAGTTCACAGATCATACTTAGCTTAGTAAATTGTTAGGTCTACAGTATATCCTGACAGGGTTTACAGTTATGGCTAAATGGCTAAACTAAATTATAGCATATCACAATGTCTGAATCCAAAAATCAGACATTTTCTGTCAAACTAGCAGAAATCTAATAAAGAACGCCCCAATAATGTGGCTCAGATTGAATACCACTCTCTTGCTTCTGAGAAGTTATTTCCATCTATGGAAAGCTTTTTCTTGGTAGAATACTCAGCTTGAAAAATATTCCTCTGCTTTAATAATTTTTTTCTTTTTGGCAGTCCTTTGGACCATGAGTTGTTACTCCCTTGCTTGTTTTTAATTTGCTAAACAATTAGTCAATTAAATTGTTTTAAAGACTTGCATTTTTATAATTTTAGTCAACCACTTTTAATTCCATACAATTAGTTTATAACTTGATTTCATTATTAATTGTCAGTAACCTAATCATGTGAGGAGATAATGCCCAAAAATAAATATTACAAATATAATGTGCTGCAAAAAGCAAAACTAAAAATTCCTCTGGAACTTATAGAATATTACAATTTTCTTCTGTTGTCTATTTCCTAATATTTGCTGATGAGCTACATTTTGAAATAGAAGAAAAAAGTTGGATTATACGTAAGTATAATATGATTTGTTTGGTTTTGGTTGAAGACGGGCAATCTAGCATTAAGATTTATAAAATATAGTTTATGGCTGAGCATGTTGTACAAATCTAATGGCTGAACCATAGTTAGCCTAATGACCCTTATCATAAGTAAAGCTAGCTATTATTAACATGAATAACATTAATGGATTGGGGTATTTAGAAATCTACAATTATTATATATATAACTCTAAAAGTTATGCCTAAATTGATTAATTTTCATTTAAGAACCTATGAAGGGGCCCATTGGTCAGGCTTGTGGCCCATCTAATCTAGTCGTGGTATTTTATCAGGTACTTTACAGGTTTACAAATATGGAATGGAGGTGATAATTCTATTTAATTGTGCTCTCTAGCAACTGGTATTTAAATTCCTAGCACTTGGATTCCAGTCTAGCAAGATTACCCTATGAGATAGTCTAGACAAGAAAAAACACAATCAGCAGTACTACCTCTATATTGTAAGGTTACACTTACAGAAGCTTGCAAGACTTAAATTATTTCTCCCTTCTCTCCTTTTACTCACCAGAAAACTAGGAAAGATCTCTTCTGAAATGTTTCCCATACCTTCCCTTCTTGTGTGGGCTGAGATATCTTTTACATTCAGGTTGATTAGTCTGTGGCTCTCCCTCCAGTCTCCCAATCATTACATCTGCCCGTTTTGGGGTGACCAATTCCTGGTTATTTCTGCTTTTGGGCAGGACCTTGGTGTGGCACAAGGCAGTTACAGTAATCCGGGTTAATCTTCAGACTTCCTTCCTTCTTGGTAAAACTCTTGGGATGTTTGTGAATCTCAGTAGTGTCTCCTGTATACTAGTTTGTACATAATAATTTCATGTTTTAGACTTTTGTGTATTTGAATATTGTTATCGTTGTGGCTCATTATGGTCACTGCTAAGTTGTTCATGGTCTGCATAGTAGGCCACCTTGCCTCTGAAGATGCCAGCTGCAATTGTCAGTGAAATGTCAGGAAATCTGTTGTCTAGACCATAAGCATTAAATCCTGAAACAGAACACTTCCCAATGTCCAATCATCTTTTTTCTAAAACAATAAATTGCTGGCCATCATCATATTAAAGGGCAGCAAATTTCATAGTTGCACTGTTGCTGAATGAAGATCAGCATTTAGTATTTAGGCAGCATTTAGTATTTAGGTAGAAGATCAGCATTTAGTATCAGGTATTTAGTTTTAATTGACAAGTTAAAGGTTGAACTTTGTTGAGAGAAAAAAAAAATACAATTTATAGTCGCGCTTCCATACTAGCGGCTACATTATTCTTTTTTCAGGAGTGATGACCATGGCTGCATGTAGTATTCAAATTCTATAAGCAATCCTTATTTTATGATATTTTGTTCAGTGACCATTCAGAGTTAAGATGGAACTGAATGAAGAGACTTTGACTGGTCCTTGGAGTTCTGGCCATTGCAACATCTCCATGGTCATGTGATAACAATCCGGACATCTGAAGCCCAGGTCACACTTATGATGTCACAGCAAGCTGTAGTTATATGATTGTGATATCTGATGTTCCCTGATGGCTTCCCATAAGCAAAGTCAATGGGGAAGCCAGTAGGAAATCACAAGTCACTCCCACTTCTGTGTTTTATTGCCCACCATGGCACCCCTTGCAACATGTCTTTGCATTCTGTATCCTGCCAGTAGCATCCCCCTGTGCCATCTGCACATCTGCCCTTGCCCTGCACCTGCCCATGGCATCTACCCACCCCAGTGCCACCCATATACTCTCCCACAGTCTGTAGTGTTTTCCAGTGTTATTACCCCACTCCCACAGCACCCACACACCCATCCACGCTCTGGAATACCTCACTATGGCACCTTCTGCCCCCTCACAGTAACTGCATGTGCTCTGGGATGCATGCCTGTGACACTCCCCACTTGCTCATAGCTCTCACCTGTAGCTTTGACCTGCCACCCTGCTTGCCTGGGAATCCCAACTCTTGCCCCTTAATAACCTGCATGATCCTAAAGTTAGGATGGCAATTGGGGCTGTGTGATATGGTTGCTAAGCTGATTTCTCACCATGATTTCAACATTTCTTTTCTGATTACTTACTCATTGATAGCTCAGATCTGGATCTATGCAGAGTTTGGATTTCTTTCTTTCTTTCTTTCTTTCTTTCTTTCTTTCTTTCTTTCTTTCTTTCTTTCTTTCTTTCTTTCTTTCTTTCCTTCTTTCCTTCCTTTTTCTCTTTCTTTCTTCCGCCTTCCTTCCTTTTCCCTTTTTCTTCAGCTACTCAGTTTTCATTATGTCTGCATACTAGGACTTGCTTTCCTAATGGTAAATGACATGCTAGTGAAATAATGCTTTCCATAGCCTAAATTACATCTCCATAATATTATCATTACATTATCATTATATTTTTAAAGTTTCAGAGTTCATTGCTTCGGCTTTGTTTATATTGTAGCAGTACTCACGTTGGGAAACATCCAACCTGGCAGAGAGGAAGGATGAAGCACAGATCTGTCTAGAATCACTGCACAACCATAAAGGAGCCAGAAGTGGCCCTCCCTGAATTCCTTGGAGCCTTATCTAATTGTTCCCGAGGAAGAGCTGCCAGACGAGAGATTCCTGTATTATAGGCAAAACATAATAAAGTAATTAGTTCAAACTCCACATGTGTGGGTCTGGTTATTTGTGCCTCACCACTCACTAACCACAAGTTGAAAAAGTATCACCCTTCAGTTCTGATACTTTCTGATTAGTATTTTCCCCGACTTGTTACAATTATTGAATTACTTTTAAGCAGTTTGGGAGTGATAGAGCAATTAAAACACAAATATTGGAAAGGTTGCACATTTCTATATACATTGTATTTGCCAGTGAATCACCTCTGCAAATTATGCTATTATAAATCACTACTGAAGATGAAGAACTAATCTATTTTTTTTTCCTTTTATGCCGTTTATTAAATTTGTAATGGCTACTTACGCTATCTACCATTGATTTAATAAGGCTTTAGTAGCTGTCAATAATGAATTCATTAGTGTTATTAATAAATACTATAGGGAGCAGTCACAAATAAATTCTGTCTCCTTAGTATTCATATTTATTTTCTTAAATAATCTATTTTACCTCATCGCTTGCCTCCAAAAGATGGTAAGATAGAATTTGTCTAGTTCTTATAGTGGTTGAATCTGCACAGTGCTTAAGACTGTAATGTGGTTTGTTTTGATTTGGCTTAGTATCATGTAAATCCAGCCATTGTGGCTTATAAACCATATGTTATGGCTTGATGTGATCTGTGAATCTAGCCATCGAGTAACTGAAGAGTAATCTCTTCTCTTTTAAATAATGGAAACTTCAATTAAGGTTTTTTTTTTTCCTGGATAAAAATCCTTTGTTGTTGAGGGTGTATGAGAATTAAATGAAAAATGATGTTTTCAAATAATCATTGAACACCCCTCAAAACTTTGACATCATGATTACGCAGAATGCAGAACACAAGAAGGAAATTTTACTGTATTATGAATGATTTGTGAGCTGGGCTTCACAAGCCACCCAAGCCACACAATTATAAATTGGATTTCATTGTCTTACCTCTCTGCCGTACACTCCAGCCTTGGTACATTGTGACATCCATCTTTCTCAAAACTGAAAGAATACTCAGGAATGAAGGCGAATATATGTGTCCCAGGATAATGTTGCAGGATCCAATCTGGGTCAGTCACCTGGACCAGAGATTTTGTCTTCTGAGCTTTCAGACTTGTGCTGGAACGTCTTTCTAGAGAGAAGTTAGAAAGGCTAAAGAGAAGTTCCTTGAAGATTGGCTCAACCACGAGCCCAAAAGCTTGGAAGACAAAACCTCTGGTCCTGATGACCAACTCAGATTGGATCCTGAAAGAATACTCTATTGACTCAGTCGAAAGGACTCTTATGAGTGGAGTTCTTTCATGAGAACTTTAGAAGCGTCTCTATTGTTGGCAGAAGTAGGTAACAACTGATGTGATTATGAGGAGAAGAAAAGACAGATAACAAAAGACCCCATTATAACCATTATTTTCCTGTTTCATTTATTAAAATATCCCATATTAAGTAATGGAGCCGGATGCATTATTTTTCATGCATTCCTCGTGTGTCTATTTATATTCACATTTTAGAATTAGATTTTTAAGAGCGCAGGAAATTCTTACATTTGACTACAATATCTAGCCCAATATATCTACTACTAGTAAGAAAGGAAATGATAAAACATACCTCTGTAAATGTAGCTTGCACAATCTGCCAGCTCTGTCAGTCCATTCCCAGGATAAAGAACAGCCCTTCATTCCAGATTGTCAATACACACCACCAAACCATATTTCCCACCAAGGAAATATGTGCTCTATACATCATGTACTGAGCCAGCATTATCTGGCTTTAGAAAAAAATAGTTGATTGATCAGAAAGTTGTTGTACCAATAATTTAAAAAATGGGGACTAAGGTTCGTTGCTTCAGCATCTGATTGGGTTTGAAATTCCCAAGCAATGGGGAATTCCAGGAAGAGTGAAACAGAAGAACAAATGGTTCAGATAGTGCTATTTTAATGTATTAACAAATACATTAAACAATCTAGTAAGGAATGGTGCATTAGGTTTTTAACGTCAAATGCTGGGGAAATCAGGAGATTCAGGCAATTCAAATGAGTATAAAGATTTATTGCAAGCTTAAGCTCTCTACAAGAATCTGACCAATTAACAGACAAGAGAAATGAGTGGGAGATAAGAAAGGCTTTCCAGCTGGGCTGGACTTAGATCTCTTGTGTGTGCACAGTAACTTGTGACTTATGACACATTTGACCCTTCCCTTGAGCTCAGCCTGATCATTTCCTACATCAACTTTTTTTGGGGTGTGTGGTGTGCTAAAATCTCACTGACTCACTATCTCTTTGTATAAATTATAGAACTGGGGAGTATGAACATCAGTTCATCTTTCAAGTTGGGCATGAATATATTTATTTGTAATGTTTTGTGTCTGTGTGATTTGCAAGAATATCTTAATGCCTTTTTACATAAATTCCTTTTGAGATCTTGGCAGAAAGCATTCGTTTGTAGCAAACCAGCACCATCTTGTGGTCTGCCTAAATTTTTATATTTTCTGCTGGATTTATCTTTAAGCAAGTTCTAATTGATCTGCTCAGCTCTGTAATTTAATGTTTACAACAATGGATGATTGTATCTTAAAAAGGATTGTGATATTTTTCTTTTCATTTGTTCAATAAAATCTTGTTAAAATTAATTTCATTTTGTTTATCTCCTGTGAGATTGATCTAGCCCCAAATGAAGGACTGAATCCTCCATCCATATGCCTCTATGCCACATAGCCAAAAAGTGGCACTACAGAAATTATTTCATTTTTTGCATTTTTACCTTTTAATCAGAAGTAAGGTACTACTGGTTATGAGAGCTTATTTCTCTCACACAACAAAGTCAGGATACAAGTTACCCCCTGCAAGATAGGTTGTGACATCCACAAGCTCAAAGTAGGAAATGAAGCTCCAGAGAACTTCTGGGAGAGTAAGTTTTTGAGTGTCCTTTACTTGACAGGACATATAAGATGGTTTATATGTCAGAAAAATGCCTATTATTTTTGTGTCTCCCCATTGTGTAAGTACAGTACACAAGATCACTGCAACAAAACTTCATGAGACCGGTGCCTTCTCCCCAACCTTCATTACAGCTCATCTGCTTTACTTATTATAGCATGTATGCTCAGAACAAAAATGGCTATATGGGGATTTAATTCAGTTGGAAGACTGGACAATTTACAAGTTTGACAGATTTGTAAAAATGAGAAACAGAGTAACCAAAATTGAGAGATTTGCCCATCTTTAAATAAAAAATACAAGAAATTTAATTGAGTGTGTTCTTCTACATATGTTTCAGTGCCTTCACAATATGAGGACTATAATTATCACTAGTTAATGCAAGATATGTGCTACCAATTAATGTTTATGCCTGATCATAGAAGAGAAATGTGTAGGAGCAACTTCAGGCATTTTTGGCATGTTTAACAAATGCTTTCTTCCTTCTTATCTTTCTTAGCATATATACTACAGATATAAATTACATGAAATCACATTGGTAGTTAGAGCAAGGTACTGAGGTCAGGCTGATTGATAATGGGATTTCTATCCCTGTACTTAAGATATGATACTTGTAATCATATAATCACTTCATTCCAAAAGACCAAAATAATTTTATGTTTTTCCCTGAGAACGGGTGAAATGTTCCATAGGTTATGCCAATTTTTAGATATAATAAAAGGCTATGATTCATGGTATAGTGAGGCAGAAAATGCAGCTATAAATCAAGGATAATGCTAACAATGACGAATTTGACTTGTCTTATATTTTGATAATGAACCAAATGCATGTCTTTTAAATGTAAAATAGGAGGTTTATGCACATATAGAAAATTATTCAGAAGTGCCTTGGACTTGGATAAGCAAATCACTTCTTTATTCATTAAGGAGTCATGTCTTTTTCCACACTTCCATGCAGAAAGGATGTTGCTGCTTTAAGAGTCATTTTAATAAGCTATCTTTCTAAACCAGCTGTATTTCTTTCAGGCACTTGCTTTCATAAAAAGTAGAAGGTACTGCTTTAGCATAAGGTCAGAAAGACTTATTCCAAATCATCATGATACAGACATAGCCTTATAATATATATATTTATTTCCAAAAATAAATGTGTATTTATAAAATCTAAAGATATATATTTAAAAGCAGATTTACAAAAAAAGATGTTTTCTATTGTACAAAGTTAGCACCCACCCCTCTCCTAGAAGAATGGAATATTTTGAGAAATATTAAAAAGGCAGAATATTATATTTCCCTAAAGAAGAAACATGCTCTTTGAAAGCAGCTTTCTTAATAGCCCCAGCAGGACTGAGCCAGCCTATCTACAAGACAAAAGACCTTCAGCTCCAGGGTGATGGGATTAAGACATCGCCCTTTAGGACATAATAGGACCATTTAGCAGAAGACACAGAGCTCACTGCATTGCACAATCTCCTAAGGACATTGCATCACTCAGCAAACTTCAACCAAACCTGACAACTCAGACAAACATGACCCCATAGGAATCTGACAACAGCCAATAGAATACATGTTCTTGCACAGGAACATGAAGTTCAAGTTCAAAGCCCAAGAGAAGGTATAAACCCCCCACACTCTCAACCCAATGTGGTCAGCTGCCCAGAACCATGTGATTGGTGGTTCTGCTTCACCATTAAATCATCTTTCCAATCAATCTCCATGTTTCCACTGTCCAGCTTGGAACTGAACCAGATGACTATTTCTTCCAACACTTCGCCAGGACATTATTATTTGTTACAGCAAAGAAATCTAGTTTTCCTCTTCTTATCTGATTCACTTTTGTGCTATTTCCTTCCTTACAAAATAAGGCAGAGATATTTTAAAGTCAAGAAATAGGTGAAACTCTTTGGCTCAAATTGCAAAGTGAAATACAGGTTTACTCAGAAATATGTCCTACAACATTCAATGAGGCACTCCCTAACACAAGAGTGTCCAGTTTTTGTGGGCTGATGTGCACAAGTGGAATTTTGAAGAACATGAGTGGCATAACAACACTTTTGTAGGTTGATTAGGATAGTGAGGCATCTGGAGGAACAAT